TCATTTCAGACATCATTTCCTTTTGGATGGAAGACATTATACGTGATTTGGTTCTGCGGAGCTCCATCTCTCACATCTCCTAGTAACAATGCCCTTTTCCTGCTCTGTCATTTATCATTTTATTTATCGTCGCAGTCTTTCCCTAAAAATAGTCCTGAAGCTGCACATGTCCATGCGGAAAACTCACCTAAACAATGCAACAGAAAAAAAAATCACTAAACCTAAAAAAAAGGCAAGCGGAAACCACCCATAACCAACAGGAAGTGTGATGCCAACACCCAGCAAAATGGCAAAACTTCAAAAACAAAGCATCTCCACTAAATTTATATTCAATTCAACTTTTACTTCCTTTTAAGTGGGATCAGCACAAATGGACAATGTAGAAGTTTTGAAAGAAGAGTGAAATCCACCGGCCTGGTGTGTGGTTGCATGGTTTGGAGAATGGCCTCAAAGCAAAGTAAGCTATAAAAATCTCTCTAAGAATACCCTAGAGGCACAGATGCGGACAAAGACAACTTTAGTCGGTGTACTTCGGAAAACAGAAGAAAGACAGTATTAGTGAAAGTCTTGCTTGAGTTAAAAGAAAGGGCACTTATTCTGTAAAATTTTGTAATGTCCAGGATTTAAAAAGTCTGGCTACATTTTGCTTGGAAGCTAATTAAAGATTTTAAAGGATAACACTAGCATTAGTCTGTATTTCTTTTCCAATTTTTGACAAATACAAAGCCCAAAATGAAGAAAAGACTGGCCATTTCTCAATGATTCACTACTTCTCGGCGTTATCTGTAGCGCTGATTCCAATCTGATTTATTTTGAGCCTTGTCATAGAACTTTCATTCATCTGTAAGAGGAATTGAGAGTCATTTTTGAAAACAACCGGGTACCAGATTTTAACTGATGGGAGTAAGCGGTACATTTGTTTAACTGACTGCAAGACGTTTTATGATGTCTAGGCACTGATATCTAAAATACATCTAAAATACATAAACAGGCCCAAACAAAGCCATATAGTCAAAGTCAAAGTAAACTTTGTCATCTCCGCTATGTGTAAGTATATACAGGTGTCTGTCATTAACATAGCTAGAAAAAAAAGAGATTCTAAGTATTTTTATTGTGAAATTGGATCAAAAAGTAGTTTCCCTTAAATTCCTAGTCATATGCGATGTCCAGACAAATTATGAGCAGAAACACACAATCAGTTGAAATCCCTGAATCTATTTAAAATAAAATAAACATATGATTTTTGTTTTTAATCTTATAGACTTTGTCGACAAGTGCATTTTTATGCCTTTTTTAAAGAAATCAAAATACTCCAAAGGGAACTTTTTGAATTACAGAAGTCCCCCATTAAGGGGATCAGTGGTGTTTTGGCCATGGGAAAGGAAGGTCTGAGTAAAGCACTGCTCTTTCCTCTTTTGGCACAGAGTCACAGAGTGACGCGGTGACCTCATCCCATCCTGTTGCACAGGAAAGGTGGATCAGATAGCCGGGGTCGGCACCTGCAGAGACACAGTGTGTGTGACTGAGAGACTCACAGAGAGAAGTGACAAAAAACAAGAACTTGTGAACTTGTGCACGGCACAGAAGATATTAGGTACCAACATAAGGACTGCAATGAAAACATTTTGATGTGTGTGAAAGTGGGAATAACATAAAATGGAAACAGACACATTTACCTCATACCTCAAAACAAAGGGGAAAAAAAAAATTTATAGTGTTGAAGTTGTTACATTTATGTTATCCGTTACTTACTGATAGCATCAGCTTGTTCCAGTAAGTTTCAAAGAAACTAAGTGAGCTGCAGTCAACTGTGCATGAGTGTTTGTATAGGATAGAGGTACCCTGCCAATGAGCCCAGTGGTACAGCCAATATAGACAGGCCCCTCCATTAGCTCCTAACGATGCAAGACCTCACAGCTAGTAAGTAGTTATAAGCTAACCACCACATTATATTTATTTCTGTAGTATGTTTATAGATTGGGGGTTTTTTATTCCCAGATAATGAAAATTAGTAGACATAACAGAAATATGAATTTATTCCTTTCTGTGGATGCTGGTTTAATCCATTTTGCTATGGATATACAGACTTGGAATGAATACAAAGCTTATCTAAGTGTTGACGTTCTATAAATTGATAACACCCAAATTGATGAACTCCAGCTGATTGGGGTTATCATAGTCAGGATGTCGATTTTGTGGTTAGAGGGAGGAAATGACAGACAGGATAGACACAGGAGCCAAATAAATCCTTTCACAATATTCCATGGTCACGATGCATGTTTGCATGTAGGAGTATGTGTCTGTGCGTACGTGGGTGTCAGTATTTGACTGAGATATTACATTTATGAACGTGTGTGGCAATGACGTAAATCTCGCAGTGGTCTCCACCATGGTGGTAAGTCCCACCAAAAGTGTCACACCCAAACCATCTGCTCTTGGTTAAAGCTGTGTAATTGTTCGGCTGAGGCAAGTGTTCACGCAACAGAATCAATGCTAAATGAATTCACTCACAAACACCTAGAATATGGTTACAGTAGAGTTGGACTTTGGTTGGTCAATAGTGGTTTATAACCCACATATTTGTGTCCACATATATGCTGCCCAGTAGCCACCAGTATCATTTTCCTAACAGTTTCAAGTTAATTCTCAGCGAGCAAACCTTTGTCTGAACCGATCACGACTTTGCACCTTTTAAACTTGTCAGAGCTTTTCAAACCCAGCATGGTAAGTACTGAGCTCATAACTTCCAGGCAACAATTGTGCCTGTTTTTATAGATTTTTATATCCCGTGTCATATCCAGTTCAAGTGATTTTGTGGTCTCGGATTCAGCCAGGATACATTTCTTTTTTACACGGGATCAACTGGTTCTTTTACCTAACACTCAAACAACATCATAAAATGTGATAGGTGAATTTCTTATGTTCTCGTCCTGTTCTCCTTCCATCTGGTATAAGATAATACTTTAACGTTAGCACACTGCACTACTGCCATGACTTATGGTTCAATCACAAAGTGACAAACATCATAATTTGGGGAGATTATGCTTGTTTGTGTTTCATAAATCACTGTTGCCTGCTTTAGCCATTAACCAAACAGTTTTTAGTGTAAATTGGGTCTGTTGTAGAGTTCACTGGGTTTGAGTCCATGGTGTCTGGCCATCACGTCCCACTCGCTGTGGTTAAATATAACACTTAGTGGTAAAAATGTTAAAGTACCACTTCCCCTATACTGACTGCAACAACACATCTATCTCTGGTGGACTCCTAAACCAAGAGGGGACTGACTGATTGCTGTCCTTGACACCACCACCACTCCCACGAGCCCCCTGTTCACACATTCTCCTGCAACACAGCTCTCCCTCATCTACCTCTCCTCCATTGCTCTGCTTCAGTGATGCAGGTAGAGGCTTGACCTAAAATCTGGGGTGATGAATGACTCTCATCTTGCTGACTCTAGTAGTGTGTGTGTGCGTGTACATGCACACACATGCTTGTGTGGTCTATATGTGTCTGAACCTCAGCCCAGCCTGATCTGCTGCAGGTCATAGTCACAAGCTTTGAGATGCGTGTAAAATCTCATCAATTACCCTAAACACAACTTCAAAAAATAAATTTGGTTACATATGTAACAGTATTTCCTCCCATATGAAAAAAAGGATTTAAGGCATTGTTGTGAAGTGTAAAAGTGTCATTCAATTGCATAAATATAAGTAATTGGTCATTTTATTTAACTGTAAACTATAATCATTTTATTATTACCATTTTAACTTGGAATTTAAATGCTAGTACAATTAGATATTCATGAGAACACCGAATTCCCGAATCACCATCACATGGGCTATGATTCTAATTTTTCGTCATTAATAAAAAGGATCAGAAAGGTTAAAATGGAAAAATATATACAGGGACCTGCATAATGACTGGTGCTTTGATGGCGCATGGTGCGCTTCTTTGTTTCAAAGACTTGGCCACTTCCACTGAACGGAGCTGGGGGGCACCAAAGTCTGCTCTCCAGTCTTTCTCCCTACTGTATTTCACAGCCTCCCTCACGTCTGTCCCCCCTTTTGTGTAGCTACCCGAATAAATTAGCAATCCAAGTAAGTGAAGGAGGAAGGAAGAGGTGGAGGAGGGTATGGAGCTGAGTAGGGGGCTGGGCCTTGTGGCGGACGATTCGGCTTTCGGTTGGTGAGGTGCACTGTACCCTGAAGCGACTCTGTCTCAACACGCACAGACACACATCCAAAAAGCACCGTGTCTCAATGACTGGATGCTGAGAGAGAGAGAGAGAGGGAGAGACAGGGAGCGAGAGAGAAGCGAAAAGTGAAACACTGAAGATCAACGAGAGACTGTGCAGAGGACCACAAGCGTCTCCTTTCTGCTGCAGATAGTGAAGAAGCCGTGCAGCTTCCCAGCTGATCCAAACGCGCTCACCTGACTCGGGGACGGAGACGCATAAAAACCCTTCCCTGTGGAATACCCAACCTGTCGGTCAGCGGGATTAGAGCGTCTGTGGAATTAGCACTACTGGCGTTTTCTGTTGATATTATGGAACATCAAAAAGCCTAGTCCAGCTGGCCAGCAAGGTTCCATTCAAGATTCTGTCCTGGCGGATTGTCTGTCGTTTGTGAGGGATTGGAAACCCGTTTGCATACTAATCAGGTTGTGAAGGGGATATCCAGGGTGCACATCCAGAGCAGCGGGGGTCCGATGAGTGTAAGTGATCGCTTTTTACTTATCTAAACAGTGATGTCTCATTCACGGAATAAGAATAAAGAATAAATGCAGGCAGACAGTCTCTTACTGGGAGGAGGCTGGTGGTTTCCCATGCAGAGGGGTATGCACCCTGCATCTGCACCTTGCGTGCATGGGCTGATAGCTGATCTCTGTACTGTGCTGTGGAAGGCTATACTAGAGAGACACAAAAGTAGCACAGGATCAGCGCATCACAGTGATGCACTGTAACTTAATATTGATTATTGATTCCCAGTCAGAGAGGATGGAAAAAAAGAGTGATTCATCCCCATTTGAAATGAAAAAGCGGCCAATCCGGTCGACTACCACACAAGCTAATTACGCTTTATGGAGCTGGTAACGGCAAGTCAGTGGTTTCTTCCACAGTGTTGGCAGGCTCAGAGTAGCTACTCTTTTTATTTTGGAGGGACGACAGAACCACTCAATGGGAAACACCATGAAGTGCACAAAGTGGGTCAGCGTTTGTTAAAAGTATTTCTCAGGGAGACCAACGGGTGTGACAATGAAAAATGCCCGCAAGGCATCACTAGCGGAAAGAATTTTAAATATTGCTGTGTACCACTGAGCAAGGCACACATAGGGTCTGCCCTGCAAATGCTGCTGTAGCTCCTCATTTCTGCTTTTCTGATTATGAAAACAGAACCTCAGACTGGAGCAGGACTCTCTCAGTAGACATGGACTGTATACTTTAGTTTAGTTTGGACTGCTCATGACAGTTTTGTTATGCGGCAAACAGATTTTGACTCAATCTAACTTTTTCCCCTCTAACATAAAAGTGTTGTTATTTCAGCCATTTCTGTCTGTATATGTTTACATGGCCAAAAGCTAAAAATGGGAACCCACAGGCATATTTGAACTCCTTACCACAATACTTATTCCAGTCATATCTGGTGTCCACTGAGCTCCTCGGCACTTGGTTTTCTGCTGCATGCAGGGGATACTGATGTTTGCATTATTGCACTATCCACTTACATCGTCCCATGTGCTCTAGCCTTGCAGTACACTGACCTCAGAGACAGCCTCTGGTCTGCATAAAAACAGCAAGAGTTTGGTTTCTTGCAGAGTGATGAGGCGTGCAGCAAGACATTTTTCTAACAGGAACCATATGCATATCTAGTGCCACTAGTAGCTACAACTGAGCAGAGCCTCAGTTTATACTAACAACTTATAATTATTCACATCAGCTGCTCGGCAGAACTGATCCTTCTTCACAGGAGAAGGATTTTAAACAACCCGGGTTATTTTCACAGTTGTTTTTATCTCCTCCTGGTAAATTCATGCTCCCTGATGCAAGAGGAGTACATCTGGAGGCTGGATTAGATTTTAATTTGATGCTGGGTGGGGTTCATTCTGTTTCTTCAATCTTGAAATCCTACATCTGAATCACACTGACATACAGCCAAATATTGTTCCATTTTGGTTTTTGAGCTGTCATCAATTTCTTTTTCTTCTTCCTTTAAGGAAACTCCTTGTTCATTCTAATGCTCTTCCTTAAGGGAATGTCCAAGCTACCGCTTTATTCCTTTTTTTGCAAATCTCAAGCAATGTTTGGGAGTTTACCCTGAAATACACAGGGTAATCAAATTGTGCATTTGCCACCCACATTGACACTGAAATTCTGTTAGTACTGTATACACCATTGTCCTCTTTGCAACTCCCACAAAAGCCACATAAGAGAGAAAAATACTTCTTTTCCCAGTCAGGTTTCATTACTTGCGTGATTTAATCCCATAACTCTTTTCTCACTGTCTGATTTAAAAAAAAAAAAGATTGCGAAAACAATACACATACAGTATTGCGGAGAAAACTGTAGCGGGTAAATCTTTTGTGTTTCAGCTCATCATCTCAAACCACCAAGTGCTGCCAATGAGGGAGAGCGAAGTGAGAAAAACTGAAAATATCTTCCCCATCCAAATGATGCCTCTGAAGCAAAAAAAAAAAAAAAAAAAAATCTAATTGTATCCCAGAACTGTTTTTTCCTGTGTTTTTGTTTCTCAAGCATGTGAAATCAGTGTCTGAGCACAAATATCGGAAAGTGACTCACAGACTCCTCTCCATCTAACTCTTCCTCTTGCACGCACACTCACACACAAATACACAACAAACCCTAACACGTGATAAATGCCAAGTTAGACTCGTGTTCTCTCAGGTATGCAAATATGATGCAGACGCACTACCAGCCAGCAAAACACAAACACAAACATAAACAGCAAAGGTTGTTTCCATTCTCTCTGGCTCCACGATGAGTAGCTCGTGTGTTAAATATTTACCCTCCATCTTTTTACTCACTGCATGCTGCTGCTGCCTCGAGTCTGTGTCGGTGTTTTTATTTACCTCTCAGTCTGCCATCGTAGACATAACACAAGCCAAAGACCCAATATTTTGGGACTTTAATGCCATCTTAATTTATTACGGAGGGTGTAGACCATAAGCAGTTGTAGGCTGCAGTGCTGTGTGAGGGAGTAGCTCTGTTTTCCTGGAAAGTCACTTCTTGTTTGCATCACCATCCACACAGGAAAGCCAGACTGTTATTAATAGCTTTACTAGTAGAGTTAGAAGAAAGATTTCTGCTGATCAGGAGTCTCATCTGCTAACTACTCCTCGATTGTTCTTTGTTATAATCCCACGTCTTGATTAACAGCTACAATCGCCAAGTTGGTCATCTTGTTATCATTATGATTTGTGAAATTTTCCCACTTTAAATCCTGGCTTACATGTGCATGGATTACCCAAAATGAAAATCTCAGTTCTGTGTAGAACAGCCGCATTCTTGCTGCTGCAACTGCGGAAGATATTTTTTGAGTTATGAAGTACAAGATTATTCTTCCCACTGTGTGGTCATAGACTTGCTTATCTTAGGAATATACTAGCAAACTTAATCAAACCCCCGTTAGTCAGTCATCCAAAGTCATGCCTCATCTTTGAGCTCACACTGAAAACTATTTTCAGAGTTCTCTGTAGTCTGTCCCCGTTTGGGAAAAACAGATCTTACCTTTCAATGTATGGAATGAAAATCCATTTATCTGTGGCACTGGAGAAGATATTACTGTAGGACAGTCTCAACCATTCAAAGGAAGTGGCTTGACTCTCCTGTCAGACGCTGAGCTTTTGGTTTGTTCTGAAACCCATATTTTGAACTGCTGTCTTCATTCATGGTCTTTGTCCTGGCAGTGGGGATCCTACTGTAATGATAAACCGAACATGAAAGATTACAGACAAATGGGGAGAAAAAAAAAGAAGAGGCTTTCTGCATGGCTTTTGGACCAGTTTCCCTACTTTACCAAAGCGCTAAGCTTGAAATGCATTACCTTGCTACACTCTCATCCTAAAATTCAACATCAAACATTATCCCATAAACTGAGTGGCTGCACATCAGGCTTTTAGCTGATTCACGATTAAGACCTAGAATACTGACTGCTTTGAATGGGTTGCTATATTCCTGATTGAAGCTGCAGATGGAAACCTCTAAAGCTTTATGTTGTCTCAAGTTTCAAGTTGGTGTGACACTGACTTCCAGAAGTGTGGCCAGACCACTGGAAATGTGGGTGCCTTGTTGTTGTAGCAGATGAATGGATAAATGCATGCGTGTGTGCACGAAAGTAAGTGTGTGGCTATAGCTGAGATCTCTCATTAGGGGAGCAACTAATCACTATTTGCAATTAGCAATTAATCTCTCAGCTGTTTTCTTAACTAACACAGTAACCATTTAATCTGTCAGAAACTACTAGAAAACCCTTCTATAATTTTCAATATTCTAATACTCAACAGTCCAAAACTTAAACTTCGTTCATGTACATATGTGTATAACACTATTAGTGGCAGTTAGGTAATTTGTTATCTTTGCAGCACTGTAGCCTTAGATAATAGCAGAAAGATTTCTGCTGAGATTGTTTTATTGATTCTCCCTCAGTGAGGAGATGATTAGTACTGGCAAATGCTCCACTTCTACTCATGTATTGGAATGAAGTGATGTATTCATTTCATTAGACACACGAAGGGATGAATTTAGGCTCTGAACAAAGATGAATGAAATGCGGTAACTGGCTCCTGCCCATGTGAGCGCTTTATGGATAAGGAGTGTCTGCGCTCACAGTCAAGCACGGCGAGCGGGGAAGAAGAGAGAAGCTGTCTGTGTAGCGTCTCATGTGTTTTTAATGAAGTAAGTGAGATGATCTGAGCTTCTGGTAACTTCAAACACTTGCGGCAAGCTGAGAGCTGTGTAGGGCATCGCAGCTCAGGTGAAGCAATGTGTTATGCAAGCTAAGGGATTCATGGCTGGATGTGTGTGTGGGCAGTGTGGAACGAAAAGGAGGGAAGAAAAAAAAGTTGGCTGGGAAGAAAGTTTTTGGGGCTCTTGATAACTTAGACACTTTTTATATGTGAACTATGTGAAAAGGAATCTGGATCCACATCAGTAGATGTGGATATTCCTAGGTAGAAGGTGCAGGAGTGTGGGAGTGGAGGTTGAGTGGGGCATCTACCAGGTCGGGGGTTTGACCCCTGTCTAGTCTAGTCTGTGCATCAACGTATCCTTAGACAAGATACTGAACCCTGAGCAGCCCCCGAAGCATCCGTGTGAGTGCATGTGCAAATTTTAGACATTTGCACACACTTACACACCTCTGAAAAAGGACCTTGCACGAATCTGTGTGTGATTGGGTGAATAAAGGGTAGCATAAAGTGCTTTGAGGGCTCAATTAAATTAGAAAAGCACTTTATAAGTACCAGTCCATTTACCATTTAAAAGATTTTGACCTCAGTTAATGAGAATTTGATGAAGTTTGAAAAATTTGAAAAGCAGCCTTGAAGGTTGTGAAAAATGTTGTCTGTTGTTAACTTTTATGTCAAAGAGTGAGCTTCATGCATTAAGCTTTCTATTGAAGCCTCAGGCTGTCTATCTCATCAGCCTTTTTTGTCAGTGTTTAATTTTGTCGTATTAGCGTCACATAATTGATGTGTTT